GGTGGCTCAGTGGTAGAGCGCTTGCCTTGCATGCATGAGGCCCTGGGTTTGATTCCTCAGCACCACATAAGCAAAAAGAAAAAAGCCGGAAGTGGCACTGTGGCTCAAGTGGTAGAACGCTAGCCTTGAGCTGAATTGCTGAGGGACAGCACCTAGGCCCAGAGTTCAGGCCCCACGACCGGACCCAAAAAAAAAAAAATTCTATTAACTAGTAAAAAGTTAATTAAAGACCAGGTTCCAGGGCTAGGAATGTGGCTTAGTGACAGAATGCTTGCCTCGCATGCAAGAAGCCCTGCGTTCAATTCCTCAGTACAACATACACAGAAAAAAGTGGCACTGTGGCTCAAGTGGAGAGTACCAGAGCCTTGAGCAAAAGAAGCTTAGGGAGAGTGGCAGGTCCTAAGTTTAAGCCTCAGGAATGAGAAGAGAAGAGAAGAGAAGAGAAGAAAAGAGAAGAAAAGAAAAGAAAGGGAAAGCCAGGCTCCAGTGGCTTTGTCAAGTAATCCTACCTATTCAGGAGGCCAAGATCTGAGAATTGAGGTTAAAATCCAGCCAGAAGTAAAGATGTGGCTCAAGTGACAATTTCAGTCTTCAGTGGAAAAAGTCAAGCAAGAGCTCATGGTCCTGAATTCAAGCCCCAGTTCTAGCATGAGTGCACGTGCACATGCGCCCGTGTGCATACGCGCGCACGCGCACGCACACACACATACATACACACACACACATATACACACAGATTTAATTAATAATTTCTTATTTCCAAGCTAAGCTGTAAAACCCTAATATTGAGACTGAGAAACAGCCTTTTTCTGACACTTATGTTCAGTTCCCAATACGAACAAATAGGAGGGAAAAAACTTTAATACCAACTTTTTTCAAGTTTGCAAAATAACAACTGGTCTTATTTCCACACACTTCAGTGGTAGCAAGCTTGCCTAGCATTCATGAGGCCTTACACTCAATCTCCAACACAGCCAAAAAGAAAAGAAATATACTAATTTTTATGTTTCCAATAGTTGCTGGAATAACAAGCACTTGCCACTGTATCCAGCTTTTCTCCATTGAGATGGAGTCTCATTAATTTATCTGTACAAGTTGGCTTTGATCTCAATCCTATCATTCTCAGCATCCACAGTAACTACTAGGATTACAGGTGTGAAACATCTGTGCCTAAAACCTAGCTAGAAACGCGAGTCTATGTTACCACTGAACTATTGAATATTTTGCTGTTTTTTCAAAACAAAAGTAAAAATAAGAAAAAAAATTAGACAGGTGCAGGTGGCTCAAGCTTGGAATCCTATTCAGAAGCTCAGATCTGAGGATTATAGTTGAAAGCCAGCCCAGGCAGGAAAGTTTGTGAAAAACTCTCATTGCCAATTAACCACCAAAAAGGCCAGTCTAGCTGTGGCTCAAGTGAAAGAGCATTAGCCTTTAGCAAAAAAAGCTCAGGGATAGCAGCCAGGCCCTGAATACAAACCCCAGGCCTGGTAAACACACACACAAAAACAGTAACTAACAAGGCTAGTAAAAATTTCAGATACAGTCTATTATTAATTACATATTACTTAATTTTGAAGTGCTGCTCAGCTTGCTGGGTTTTTGTTTTTAACAGTATTGGGAATTGAGCCCAGCCTCAGACTTACTAGGCATAAATTGTACCACTTGAGACACACATTCCCCAGAGCTTTTTTGTTCTAGATACTTTCAGACAGTTGTTTTCAGATAAGTTGTAATTGTTTTCAGATAGGGTGTTCAGTTATGGCCCAGGGCTAGCCTGAGACCATAATGCTCCCTACATATACCTCCTTGCGATTTACAGACATGCATCACTATGGTGTGGCTTATTTGCTAAGATGAGGTCCAGACTTTTTTTTTTTTTTTGCTGATATTGGCCTTAAACTCTATCTCCTAAGTAGTTATAAGTACAGGTATAAGTCATCATGCTCAGCATAAAAATGGCTTTTATCAAGAAAATAATTTGCATCTGAGCACTAGTGTCTCCAGCCTGTAATCTTAGCTACTCAGGAGGCTAAGATTTGAGGATCGTGTTTCAAAGCCAGCCCAGGCAGCCCAGTTAGTAGTGCTGTGACTCAAAGTGTTAGAACACTAGCCTTGAGCAAAAGGAGTTCAGGGAACACATCCAGGCCCTGAGTTCAACCCCATGACCAACCAGGGGAAAAAAAAAAAAGGGCAATATGCTCAGGTGGAAACCTGGCTCAAGTAGTAGGGTACCTACCTAGCAAGCATGAGGCCCTGAGTTCAAACAGCAGCAGCATAAAAGGAGGGAAGAACAAAGGGACAGCTAGCCTAATTGAATGTATACCTTTCTGATGGATTTACGAAAATGTTTTATGTTTATTACAATTTACAAAGCTGCCTAATATCTATCTATAAATCACCCTTTAAAAGGGGAGGGAAAGAGGGGGGTAGAGCCATGGCTCAGCTGGTAGTGTCAGCCAATGAGCAAAAGCAGCCACAGGTGCTGAGTTTGAGTTTTGATCTTGGACTAAGAAAAAGAAAAAGAAAAGGCCTTGCCACTAAAATATGATTTGGTACTGAAAATCACTGAACATTATTGTGTCTGTCATAACAAGCCAGAGTTGTAGAATTTTTCAAAACTGAGAAGTTCTAATAGTATAAATACCTTCATATAGAAACTAAAGTTAATATAAAAATTCAGAGGGACTGGGAAGGTGGCTCAGTGGTAGAGGGCTTGTCTTGCATGCATGAGGCCCTGGGTTTGATTCCTCAGCACCACATAAGCAGAAAAGAAAAAAACCAGAAGTGGCGCTGTGGCTCAAGTGGTAGAGTGCTAGCCTTGAGCTGAAGAGCTGAGGGACAGCCCACGTCCAGAGTTCAGGCCCCATGACCGGACCCCCCAAAAGAAAAATTTATATAAAAGTTACCTCCTTACAATTATCTTTCTATTTACTATTCACCTGGTATTACATCTAAAACCGTATCACAAATGAATAACAACAAAAAGTCTGAGGTTACTGGGCTCATCTCTATTATCCTAGCTACTCAAGAGGCCAAGATTTAAGGATTGTGGTTCAAAGGCAGAAGAGTCCTCAAGACTTTCTTCAAATAACCAGCCAAAAAAAGAAGAAAGAAAGAAAACCAGCGGACTTGAGAAGCCAGAAGAAAGTTCAAGGCTCCAAGTTCAAGTCCTGGTACTGGTACAAATAACAACAACAAAAATAAAAAATAAAATACAAAGCAGAAGGTCTATGTTAATATTAAGAAAAACTAGAATGCTTCACCATAAATCATGGTGAAATATTGTCTTAGATATCACATAAACCTTTTTCAGCCTAAAAACAAAAACCCTTGAAGTCTTAAACTCAAAATACTACAGCAATTACATGTGAGAGAAAAAGTAGAAAGTAGATCAAATGTGAGGTCATTACATAATTTTTAGTCAATAACTGTCATTTTGCAAATTGCCACTTTGTAAAAAAAAGAAAAAGAAAAAAATTAAAACAAAATTCAGTGAGAAAAAAATTAATTTACTTAAAATAAATTTCTCCTAAACAGCACCATCATTAAGAGGCATCATAAGCAAGTTGAGAAGTCTGTTGTTTTTATCACAGAAGAAAAATGAGGAAATTCATTTGGGGAGCTGTGTGGAATTTGGTTATAAAATGTTCAATAGGGAAAACATTAAGTATGATATATATAATAAGTATATATATAATATATATAATAAGTATATATACTATGTCTATTATAAGTATGATATATATAGTTCATATTAGAAGTATCTATTCTGAAATAATTAGCTCTAGTACATATCATTCTATCATAGTTCTTAAAACAAAACAATGTTTAAAATATGCAAATGAGTTTTTTTAAAAAAGGTGCTATTAAAACAAATCTAAAATTAGTATAACACTTTGGCTTCCTTGACCCAGTAACTAATACTAAGAAGAACAAGAACGTTTTAAGAGGCCAGAATTTGTGTAAATTTTTTTTAAACAAAGCGTAACTAAGGATATTATTTATGTATCTGAAGAACTAACTAGGCAAGGACTCTACCATTCTCTTTTTATTTAGCAGTAGTAGGTTTGAACTCAGGTCCTTTGCATTTGCTAGACAAGCATCTACAACCTGAACCATATTCTCACCCTTTATTTTGTTTTACAGAAAGACTTTATCTTGTCCAGGCAGGATCCTCCTGCCCCTACCTCCCAAGAAGCTGGGATTACAAGTGGGTGCTATCACAGGCAGCCTTTTCTTTTTTCTTTTTTGGCCGGCCTGAACTCTGGGCCTGGGTGCTGTCCTTCAGCTCTTCAGCTCAAGGCTAGCTAGCACTCTACCACTTGAGCCACAGCGCCACTTCAGACTTTTTCTGCTTATGTGGTGCTGAGGAATCCAACCCAGGGCCTCAAGCATGCAAGGCAAGCACTCTACCACTAAGCCAACTTCCCAGCCCCAAAGACAGCCTTTTCTTTAAATCTATTTGTCTACCTAGATCAACCCTACATAAATCTATAAGACTACACTGATGAGATATTAGTTTTAAATTTTGAAGTAATTCTGAGCTAATGGTTAATATTCATTCCTATTTTAAAAAGTAGGAGTAATTCTATCCTTTGTACACTACGCATGTTTGATCTTCCACACTGAATAAAAACAAAAAAGCCTAAAAATCAAGTTAGAGAAAAATGAGTAATATTTAATATTTTAATAGCTGAGATATTCAAGATAGTAAAATTAGTAGCTTAAAATCAGTCTATACCACAAACAGAAAATTTATAATAAAGCATTTATTTTCTCATTCCTCTTTACAAACAGAAATTCTATTAATTATAGAGAAAAATACAGAGTATACAAAAATAGCCAATCAAATAGCTTAACTCAAGTTCAAAGCAAAAACCTACCTAATAAGTTCAAAGGATTCAAATAATTAGGTGTCAGTGCTTACAAGCTCATAGTAAGAATGATTTAAATAATTCATTATAAAAGATTAAGGACCTCTTTCCCATCACCTTTGTTACCTGGGTACTCTGATACATTCCTCTGATCCTAGTAGGCCAAGTTGTCCATCAGAATCGAGACCCCAAGCATACACCTGGCCCTTGTCATTAAGCGCTAATGTATGAGCTTCTCCACATGAAACAGCTACGATATTTTGGGCATCCAGGGCAACAACCTGCTCTACAGAACACAAGTCAAGAAGAGAGACATTACATTCTAGTTTTGAACTTCCAGTGAGAATACATTCAAATCTTCATTTGTAGTTTTTAAATTAAATAAATGCTTACACACAGTAATCACAATCAGTTACATTGAAAAAAATCTACCAAACATGTTCCCTACAAAATTGTCATTGTGGCAGAATACAGATAACTTTATAAGAAAGCTACTCCAAATACTAAGTGGTCAGAACATCTTGGTTGAAGGTTCAAAGATTATTTCAGAGGTATTCTCCATTCAAAACCAGTATCAATCAAAATAGACCAGGCTTTAAATAAAACTATTTTAATAACCCAGATGGTTTAACAATGAAATTATAACAAACACATAAATTATCATATACATACTACCATGGAGTGATTTTTTTTACAAAAGAATTTGAACAGGCAGTTTCTTTGGTCTCAAATTTTCAATCTTTCTGCCTCTAAATCATGAGAGCTAAGATTAGACTCATGCACTACGATAGCTAGTTCAGATTTTTAAAATATAGCATCCATTCTGTATGCTAAATGACAATTATAACTGCCAAGTTCTAATTCCAATGGAATCCTATGTTAGCAACAATTATGTAACCTCTGTATGTTTGAGTTTTAAATAAAAAATTCATTTAAAACCTCTGGCCCCTCCACACTTCAGTAGTCAGACATAACAAATCAGTAAGCAAAGTCAAATTATTTCTCTAGTCCTCAGTATCCTTAAGATATACAATGTTTGTCAGTGTTTCACTAGTGTAAGTTTTTCTAAAATTAATTTTTAAGTTAGTGAAAATGCTACAAGTACTATCTTCAACAAACTAAAATCATGTTGAAAGTGATTAAAAGTGGATCAATGAAGAGTTATATTTCTAGTTTGCAAAAGTAGCTATCCAGTAATGAAACAGACTACATCAAAAAAGTTTACATTCCTGGGACTGGGAAGGTGGCTCAGTGGTAGAGCGCTTGCCTTGCATGCATGAAGCCCTGGGTTCGATTCCTCAGCACCACATAAGAAAAAAAAAA